ACCAAACAACTGGGCATCACAGACTAGCCAAGCTGTGTGCATGCGTGTACGTGCTCAATCATATCTGGCTCTTTGTGGACCCCATGGTCTCTAGTCCCCCAGGCTCCTCTGTCCATGGAGTTCTCCAGGCAAGTATACTGGAGTGGGTTGTCACTTCCTATTCCAGGGGAATCTTTCCAACCCAGGGATTGAATCTGCGTCTCTGGTGTCTCCTGCATTGGTAGGCAGATTCTTTACCACTATGCCACCTGGGAAGTCCCAGCCAAGTTAACATAGTTAACCATCATGAGTAAAGTCTAATTTGAACTAAATTCTGACTGCTCAAAAATATATGTTAGAGATATGCCAGTCTAGTGATTTTTTTCCATTTAAAAAAATATTTATTGAATTTGTTACAATACTGCTTTTTTGTTGTTTCCTTTTTCAAATTTATTCATTTTTTAATTGAAGGATAATTGTTTTACAGAAAGTCTAGTAATTTTTTCACTTAGGATGACTGAAGTTCTAATTTGCTTTAAAAGATTCAGCCGTTTGAAAAAAACATTTGAATAGTGCATTCGCAATATATTTGGCTATTCTAATCACCAGTTTTGCTTAATGCAAACTAGGTTGTAGAGATAATTCTCAATAATTTCATGGCAGTTGAAACAAGGTTAACTAAAACAATGCACACAAATCTGTGAAGCTAACAGTAAACACACTGAACTCATTGCTATAAATCATGCATTTTCACATTTGCTCTTAGTTAGCCTAGATATAATGTGACTACTTTACAGTGAAATTGATCAGTAATGGGGTGTTTTCAACTTAATAAAATCACTCAGTTGTCTCTGACATCTCATCTGCAAGTTACACAAATGGTTAACAAAGTTATGCAAGTGATTTCAGGATAACCTCAACCTGAATCTAGATTCTAAATAAATTATGAGTTGGGCATTTGAGAATATTAATAAATGTGGATCTATTGCTCCTGGCATTATTGCTGAAGTTTAGTATTGCCTTGATGCTCTGTTAGTAAACACAACAATTCTTTGTTACTGGTAAACTGAGAAAAAACTAGTGTCATTAGAATTATCAATTTAATTAACAAAAGATTGTTACCTTCAGATAAGAACAAAATTATATACCACCTAAAAGACATTTAAATGTCTTTCTACCACTGCAAAGGAAGGAATAGTGTGTAGTATATGTCATGGGGTTAGTGGCATTTACCTTATTTCTTATCTGTGAGATAGGTATTATTAGTCTCTCTGAAGAGACTAACAGGAATATTGTTGCTGCTCAGTTGCTTAGTTGTGTCCAACTCTTTGCGACCTCATGGACCACAGCACACCAGGCTTGCCTGTCTTTCACTGTCTCCTCAAGCTCAAACTCATGTCCATCAAGTCGGGGATGCTATCCAACCATCTCATCAGCTACTGTTCCCTTCTCCTCCCGCCTTCAATCTTTCCCAGCATCAGGAGTCTTTTCCAATGAGTTGGCTCTTTTTATCAGTGGCCAAAGTATTGGAGCTTCAGTTTCAGCATTAGTCCTTTCAATGGAGATTCAGGGTTGATTTCCTTTAGGATTGACAGGTTTGATCTCCTTGCTGTCCAAGGGACTCTCGAGAGTATTCTCCAGCATCACAGTTGGAAGTTTGGGGCTCAGCCTTCTCCATTGCCCAGCCCTCACATCCGTACATGACTACTGGAAAAACCTTCTCCATTTGTCCATCTCTCACATCCATATAGCTTTGACTATATGGACCTTTGTATGCAAAGTAATATCTCTGCTTTTTAATATGCTGTCTAGGTTTGTCATAACTTTTCTTCCAAGGAGCAAGCATCTTTTAATTTCATGGCTGCCATCACTGTCCACAGTGATTTTGGAGCCCAAGAAAATAAATTCTGTCACTGTTTCCATTGTTTCTCCATCTATTTGCCATGAAGTGATGGGACCAGATGCCATGATCTTTACTTTTTGAATGTTGAACTGTAAGCCAACTTTTTCACTCTCCTCTTTTACTTTCATCAAGAGGCTTTTTAGTTCCTCTTCACTTTCTGCCATAAGGATGGTGTCATCTGCATATCGGAGGTTATTGATATTTCTCCCGGCAATCTTGATTCCAGCTTGCTTCATCCAGCCGGGCATTTCACATGATGTACTCTGCATATAAGTTAAATAAGTAGGTTGACAATATATAGCCTTGACGTACTCCTTTCCCAATTTGGTACCAGTCCATTGTTTTATGTCCAGCTCTAACTGTTGCTTCTTGACCTGCATACAGGTTTCTCAGGAGGTAAGGTGATAAGGTGGAGGTAAGGTGGTCTGGTATTCCCATCTCTTTAAGGATTTTCCACAGTTTTTTGTGATCCACATAGTCAAAGGCTTTAGCATAGTCAATGAAGTAGTTTTTCTGGAATTCTTTAGCTTTTTCTAAGATCCAATGGATATTGGCAATTTGATCTTTGGTTCCTCTCCCTTTTCTAAATCCAGCTTGTATATCTGGAATTTCTTGGTTCATATACTGTTGGAGCCTAGCTTGAAGGATTTTGAGCATTATTTTGCTAGCGTGTGAAATGAGTGTAATTGTGCAGTAGTTTGAACACTTTGGCATTGCCTTTCTTTGGGACTGGAAAGAAAACTGACCTTTTCCAGTCGTGTGGCCACTACTGAGTTTTCCAAATTTGCTGACATATTGAGTGCCGCACTTTAACACCATCAGTATTTGAAACACTCAGCTGGAATTCCACCACCTCCACTAGCTTTGTGTGTAGTGATGTTTCCTAAGGCCCAGTTGATTTCACACTCCAGGATGTCTGGCTCTATGTGAGTGATCATACCATTATGGTTACCTGGGTCATTAAGATCTTTTTGTATAGTTCTTCTGTGTATTCTTGCCACCTCTTCTTAATGTCTTCTGCTTCTGTCCATACTGTTTCTGTTCCTTATTGTGCCTATCTTTGCATGAAATATTCCCTTGGTATCTCTAATTTTCTTGAAGAGATCTCTAGTCTTTCCCGTTCTATTGTTTTCCTCTATTTCTTTGCACTATCACTTAAAAAGCCTTTCTTATCTCTCCTTGCTATTCACTGGAACTCTACATTCAAATGGGTATATTTTTCCTTTTCTCCTTTGCCTTTTGCTTCTCTTCTTTACTCAGGTATTTGTAAGGCCTCTCAGACAACCATTTTGCCTTTTTGCATTCCTTTTTCTTGGGGATGGTTTTGATCACCACCTCCTGAACAATGTTATGAATCTCCATCCATAGTTCTTCAGACACTCTTGTCTATTAGATTTAATCCCTTGAATCTATTTGTCACTTCCATTGTATAATCAAGAGATTTGATTTAGGTCATACCTGAATGCCTTAGTGGCTTTCCCTATGTTCTTCAATTTAAGTCTGAATTTGCCAATAAGGAGTTCATGATCTGAGCCACAGTCAGCTCCCAGTCTTGTTTTTGCTGACTGTGTAGAGCTTCTCCATCTTTAGCTACAAAGAATATAATCAATGTATTGACCATCTGGTGATGTCTAACAGGAAAATTAGGCTCATAGAATTCAGAAACTTGCCCAAGGTCACCAGAAAGCAGCAGATTCCCTTCAAGGCCGAGACCCAGCTGAAACACAGAAGGAACTAAAATGTTTGCTCTGGCGTTTCTTACATAACAAAGGTGATTTATTCCTATCTTATCTTCCCTTTGTCTCCTTTCTCACCTTTAGCACAGTACTAAGTGTAAAGGTCTTTCCCCACAAATAAGGCATTGCTTTCCAGGTACGTGCAGCAGGTGGGACTGTTTTCAGTATGCTTTTATTACCTTGCAGTTTGTCTTTGGTTAGATCAAATTTAAACTTGTGTCTTGTCTCACTTGCCTTCTTCTGCATCACCTCTGGAAGAGACCAGGAACTGCAATCAGTGCCACAGTGATGGGAGTGTTGGGGGTGGAGATCAGAGGGCATCGTGGGAGGGTGCGAACAACTCCCTGGGTGGGGTTTCAAGGTATTGATGAGTGTTTTTAGTTATAAGGAAAAAAAAAGGGTGTCCTTTCCTTTCCTCTGGTTTTCCTTTGATCACCTCTTCAGTGAAGCCTGTAAGCTGTTGTTCCTGCAAATTTTGTTTAAATAGGCACTCAGGTCAAAGTTGCTCTATGGTGCTTGTGCCTTGATCTAGTTGGGTCATGAAGACAAATCTGTATTCTGCTGTCATACAGCATTGCTAGATATGAATAAGGCTATATGGTTCTTCCCTTGAATTGTATTTATAAACTAAAGGGTACTAGAGATTATCTAGTCCAGTGATTTTCTCACCTTTTTTTTTTTTTTAATAGTACAAAAACCTTTTCAAACTTATTTGCAAGCCTACAAACAAAACAAAGAGGTGCTGCTCTGATGTAGCTCTTAGGCCCTTTTCTCAGTTCTCTTTTTTTTTTTTTATTTTAAGTATGAGTGACAAATGTATTTCTTTTTATTGTTTTCTCTAATGTATTTCAGAAACTGAAGTGTTTTTATTTTATTCCACTGTTGGTCATAGTTTGAGCCCTACACACTCCCTTCCCTTTCACCTCAAAGGGAGCGCCTTTGTATGTAGCCACGCAGTCATCATTAGTGTAAAGATCAGGCTGGATCTGCTCTGAAATCATCTTCTTAGGATTCAGCTCCTTGTCATGGTAGGCAATCGCCGCCATGAAGCTGATCGATAGCGAGCTGCGGTGCTTCCGCGTCGCCAAGGTGTTCCGCGAAAATTCTGACAAGATCAACTGCTTCGACTTCAGCCCCAATGGCGAGATTGTCATCTCGAGCAGCGACGACAACTCCATCGTGCTCTATGACTGCCAGGAGGGCAAACCAAAGAGAACCCTGTACAGTAAGACAGCGTGGATCTCATCAGATACTCTCATGCAGCAAATACAGTAGTTTACAGCTCTAACAGAAGAGACGATACTATTCGCTACCTGTCCTTGCATGACAACAAATATATCAGGTACTTTCCTGGACATAGCAAAAGGGTGGTGGCCTTGTCCATGTCACCTGTGGATGACACTTTCATTTCTGGGTCTCTTGGTAAGACCATTTGGCTCTGGGATCTCCGCTCTCCTAATTGCCAGGGTCTCATGCATCTACAGGGCAAGCCAGTGTGTCCTTTTGATCCAGAAGGATTAATTTTTGCTGCAGATGTCAATTCTGAAATGGTCAAACTTTATGATCTTCGCTCTTTTGATAAGGGGCCATTTGCAACATTTAAGATACAATATGATTGGACTTGTGAGTGGACAGGACTTAAGTTCAGCAATGATGGCAAGCTCATCCTCATCTCCACCAATGGCAGCTTCATCCATCTGATTGATGCATTCAAGGGAGTGGTGATGCATATGTTTGGGGGTTATGCTAACAGCAAGGCTGTCACATTGGAGGCCTAGTTTACCCCAGACTCCCAGTTTATTATGATTGGTTCAGAGGATGGTAAGATCCATGCTGGAAGAGAGAGAGTGGTATAAAAGTAGCTGTATTGGATGGCAAATACACAGGCCCCTTTACCTGTTTGCAGTGCAACCCCAAGTTCATGACCTTTGCCAGTGCTTGTTCTAACACAGCCTTCTGGTTGCCCACCATTGATGACTGACCTGCATGGTGCTTGGCTGTTTTCTGTACAGCAAGGGGTGGCAAGTAGGAAAAAACTCAGAGGGGACCAAGATAATAGTGGGATTGGATCATTTGACTGGACTGGAGATGGAGAGCATGCTTCCGCATGGTCTTCCCAAGAATGTGCTATACATCTGCTCAAAAGAAAAAAGTTACTTTGCCGAGCTTTTTACAAAAGTAATTCTGTCTCCAGGAACAGATCCATTAGGAGGTGCCAAGATTTCAACTTTCTCTGGTGAACTTTCACACATCACCATTGCCTGAGACAAGTAAAACCACCACCATCGGATTTTGCATCTGTTAAGAGGAACATGATTCACCAGGCCACTGACCACTGTTCTTGGGGCTCCAACATCTACTTCATCTACATACAAAGAATCTGCAAAGGGTGTTTTCTGGCAGTGATGATACAACCAATTCGAAGATCCATACGGGAAACATCAACAGGCTTAGAGTCAGCTACTGGTTGCTGTTTTTTCTCCTTTTTCTCTCCTTTCTTTTCAGTTTTCTCTTTTATCTTTTCTTCTTCTCCTCTTCCTTCTTTATTTGCTCTTTAGCACCAGAAGATATGGTTGTTATTGGTATGGATTGTATCTCATTTTCAGAAACTGTAGAATCAGCTTTTAGTGGAGTACCAGATGGGAATGATATTTTACTCCATTTTGAATTTCTGGCTTAATTAGCTCATTTCAATCCTTCAACTTTTCTTCAGTTTAGCATTTTCAACTTGAAGTTTCTTCTCTCAGAGTTGTCTGCAAAATTCCCTTCTCCTTAATTAGAGCAATTTTCTGCTTAAGATATTCAATAATTTGATCTGCTTCTGCACCTTTCTGCTACAATCAATAGCATCACTGGTTGCCATTTTTGCCAAGAAATGGTAGAAAATCATCTATCAGTGGACTGAGGCACCTCAACAGCTTCAGCTGGGAGCAGGTAAGGAGTGCCTCTCCTCAGTTCTTAATATTTCCTTGGAGCCCTCATTTAAAGTTTATTGATTTAGTCTACCCTCTCATTTTATGAACAAAAAATTCTGAACAGATACTATGTGTCTAAGTTTAGAAAAAGTGTGCTCAGTTGCTCAGTCCTGACTCTTTGTGACCCTATGGACTGTAGCCCACCAGGCTCCTCTGTCCAGGCATGAATGAATACTGGAGTGGGTTGCCATGCCCTCCTCCAGGGGATCTTCCCAACCTAGGGACCAACCCCAGGTCTCCCACACTGCAGGCAAATTCTTTACTGTCTCTGCCACTAGGGAAGCCCAAGAATACTGGAGGGGGTAATCTATCCATTCTCCAGAGAATCTCCCCAACCCAGGAATCAAACCAGGATCTGCTGCATTGCAGGTGGATTCTTTACCAGCTGAGCTACCAGGGAAGCCCTTAGGAAAAACACTGGGCCTAAAATATGGGTATGCTCTGGTCCCTGATCAGGGAAGACAGATGATTACAGCACAATAGTGAATTCAGTGATACGGAATTACCTGTGATACTTGGAGCCATGGAACTGGGGCTCTCTAATTCAGTCTGGGGGCAGTGAGTGTGAGCTTGAGTCTCTATGACTGGGCCAATTAGCTAGAAGGGCAGTTAAACTTGGCAAGGTGTGGGGAAGAGTAAAATATAGACTGAAGAATGGAGTGGGTAAGTAGCTAGAGGTATGTTCTGGAAGCTACTAGTCATTTTATGTAATAGTTCAGTGGGAACTGATGAAGAGAACTAAGCCCTCCCTGTCTTGAAATTGGAAGTAAGTTGTCATCACTTAATGCCTTGAGGTAAGGAAACAGGTCAAATTTATTTCAGACTGCCGATAGGGACGATGAACTCGACAAGAACTAGTAGAGAGGTAGGAAGACAAGCCAGGAGAGTAAATAGCAGCAGCTCTCTGATAGAGAGCATGAGAGCAGAGGCAAGTCTGTGAGGAAAAGGATGCATTCACGCTGAGGTCCCAGGTACAGAGGTTCGGCATGATCAGATGGGTATCTAAGTGGAAAAGCCTAAGTGGTTAGGACTCCCAGCTTTTACTGCTGAGGGCGCAGGTTTAATCCCTGGTCAGGGAACTAAGACCCTGCAAGCCACTTCGTGCAGCCAAAAAATAAAAATAAAAAAAGAGATGTGGGAAGATTAGTTTAAGAGATTAGTTTAAATTAGTTTAAGAGATTGTTTAAACTAATTTTGCTTATCATTTTCTTAATCTTTTTCTGTACACTAAACATATATTACTTTTATAAATGGGAAAATGCATAAAGTCTGTTGCTTTATCTTCCAAACTTTGCTCTTTAACCCAACTGGCAGCATACCATGACATATCCTGCATTTTCACTAATATACTATGCCACCACTAAAAATGATTGCAAAAGAAAAATTCAACACTTTACCAGTTTTCTTACACTAAACTTTACAATTTGGTTTAGTTGGACTCTCTGTAGATACAGTAAGACAGAAAAATCTCTTGTGAATAGTGTTCACAGCATGTTAAGTGCTCTCTTGAATGGAGTTATCATAGGCACTCCTAATGTTGTCACCATTGATGATAGAACAAATGCAAACCTGAATATCTAGCCCAGTGTCTCCTGAGAAATGTGACTCACAAGTGTGTCTGAGAAGTTTCAGGCCTTTCTGACATTACCTGGGAATGATGAATTTTGCCTAAAAACAGTAAGGAAAAGTTGGATGAGTTTCATTTGAACTTCCTTGCCACAACAAATAGATCAGACCCTGTGATTACTATCATCTAGCAGATTGATAGCTGACCTTAATGAAACATACATACTCAAAAGCTATCATTGAACATCTGCTACTTTTAATTCATTAGAGGAAAAGAACCATGCTCATTTCAGAAACTTATTTTCATTATGCTCAAAGCAACTTACACATTTAATATTTAGTATTACCAGCTTTTAATTTTTTAAACCATTAAGAAAATTGAAGTATAATTTACAATGTTGTGTTCGTTTCAAGTGTACGATAGATTCAGTTATATATACACATTATGTATATATACTTTTTCAAATTCGTTTCCATTATAGGCTATTATAACCTATTGAATATACTTCCTGGTGCTTTACAGGTCCTTGTTATTTATCTCTTCTATCTATGTTAATTCCAGACACCTAATTTATTCCCTCCTCCCTTCCCCTTTGGTAACCATGTTTGTTTTGTATGTCTGTGGGTCTGTTTTGCAAATAAGTTCATTTATATCACCTTTTCAGATTTCACATATTTACCTAAGAGGATAATTTCTAGGTCCATCCATGTTGCTGCAAACAGCATTATTTCATTCTTTTTATGGCTGAGTAGTATTCCATGCATATATATCACATCTTTATTCATTCATCTACTGATAAATCATTTAATTTGCTTCCATGTCTTGGCTATTGTAAACAATGCTGCTAAGAGTATTGGGGTACAGGTATCTTTGCAAATTAAAGTTTCCTCCTTACCAGCTTATTCTAACCCATAAAAGCACAGTGTATACAAGAATATACACTTAATATGCCAGTGACATCTATTTCTAGCACTGTGTTGCACTTCTCAGTTATCAAAATGTAAACAGGCTACTTGGGTGAGGAGAGTCTGATTTATCTCAAGTTTTCAACAGAATAATTTCCCCCAGTACTAGTTCAATATATTAACTTTTGCTTTCTAGATCATAGGTGGGGGCAATGTGTTAGACTCGGCAGATTTCAAAGAAGGCAGGTAGAATCACTGCCAGGAAAACCTAAGTAACCATTAGCACCATAGTCAAAGTTTTAAAAAACTTGATCTGTAATCTGAATGGGTTCACTTTCTAATGAAGAGAAACTGTGCTAGTACTCACAGTATAGTCTTTATTTGGGAAACATAATGCCAACTTGAAGATGCTATCAAAAAAATTTAAAAAACTGAAGAGAATAAAACTATTAAAAAAAATCACACACTACATTTTTATGTGAAATCTCATTTTACTCAGAAACACTATGGGCGTTTAGGGAATGAAACAAAAAAACGAATACAGGGAATCAGACCAAAATTGTCCAAAGGTTAAGTCTATTTCAAGTAGAAGACTAAGACAATTCAGCTGAACTTTGAACATTATGTGGGGGTTTAAGGTATTAACCTGTGCTGACAGAAATTCCCCTTACAGCCCTCTGAAATCTACAGTTCCACGTCCACAAATTCAACCAAATGTGGATCATGAAGTACTGTAGTTATTTATTGCATATAGTAATACTGCATAAAAGTGGACTCACATAGTTCAAACCCTTGTTTAAAGGTCAATTGTATGACTTGAAAAGATCAGTGTGGTGTTTCCCAACTGTGCCTGATCATAAGCATTACCCAAGGGACTCCTTACAGTCTGAGACTCCCTCTTTTTCCATTCTGGCTCACTGGGTGGCAGGTTTGGACTGGGGACCAAGAATTTGTATTTCAAGCACCTTGAGTGGTTCTAATAACCAGGAAGGTTGGGGAAATAGTGGTTAACGGTGGGGCAGGGGGTGGACAGCAGCAACGCCAGTCACCACAGCTCCCATCCCCAAACTCAATGACTGCCCATCAAACTACCTAAGAATGAGAACACTCAACTGGGATTGAGGAACTGTCCATAGAACACTGTTTATTTCAAGTCCAAAACACAAAATTACTCATTTTGCTTAACAGACTGCATAATTTTTACTGCATGAATATTTAGGGTTTCTCTATTCACAAGTGTAGATTTACTTAACTTTAGGCTGAAATGATTCATTATATATATATATATATATATATATATATATATATCTCAATATCAATTTACTCCAGAGGACACATACTTTAACAAATCTGTTTAGAAAATATTTTACATAAAAACACACAAAAAGCATTTACCAACATTCTTCAGTTGTTGCAACCAGTCTTCAGCAAAGATTTGGCTGAAATTCATTTTCTACAAAACATTCCAAGACTGAATACAATAGAATGTAGTATTTTACATACTTTAGCTTATTATTGCAATTAAAACTTCCTTTTTCTTTGATGGCTTCCACATATATTATACTCATACAGCAGGAGAATTCTTCTAACTGGTGACTTATTAAATAAAATTGTCTTTTTTGGTATAACTTGTCTCCAATTAAGAACCTAAACAGTCATGATATGATGAAATCAAATAATGGACATATATAGGGCTTTTTAGAAAGAGCATTTTCAAACAGAATTTAAAACCTAACAGTATAATATCCTTTATTGTTTTGTGTTCAGTAACTACCACCTGAAGTGCTATTACGTCTAGTATAATCAGCTGGCATCAAAATATAAAGTAAAAATATGTACATTTTAATATATCAATTCTTACCTGAATAATCTCAGATCTCTTGAGAATGTTCCACAAAGTGGAATTTCTTCCTAAAGTTACAGTGAATGTGGTACAATGTGTACAACTTGGTTAACCAGTGCCTGCCTTTCATTCCAAGATTTTTCCTTATCTTGAATCAAATACACAATCTTGACTACCATATTATAATGCACTGGTTTACGATTTGTATATAAAGTCCAACTCAAGCTTATTTTGGTTTATTGTACATGCTTTATTAAAACGGTACGGGTATTTACAGTATTCGCAGAGTCCCTCCCAAGGCGCTCTCACACACACTCAGACACACCCACGCGACATCCACACTACAGCCCCATGCACCCACACCAGTGAGATGTGAGAGTCAAGACTCCTGAAATTAGGCAGCTGTTAGGGGACAGAGTTGTTGATTTGTTTTTCAATTTTTTTTTTTTGGAAAAGAGAGAAGCATGGGGGAATGCATTTGGCCATTATAATGCTAATTAAGTTTGTGTATATTAACATATATATGGCAGTAACACTGAATATTCCTTTTACATTCTATATACACAGAATGACATCAAGGTTTTGCAGTCAACAGAATATTCTAACTTCAGTCTCAATGCTGCTTGTAGTGACTTCGGAATTCACATAGGGGCTTTCCCTAAAAATAATTCAAGTCTATGTAAGTGAAATAAGGCACAATTAATAATGATTGATCTAGGGGAAGGAAAGGGATAAAAACTAGTTTCAAATCATCTTGCTGTTGGGGAATTAGCTTTGACTTAAATCCACCTGAAATCCATTCTTCTAATTTCCAAAGATTTCTTAGAAATAAAGGTTTTCCTTCTTTTCCCTGTCAAAACCCAAAAAGAAAAGCTTGGGACTCACATTTACCATTTTAATGTGTCAGTAGCCTTAACTACTTGAAATTGGTGTGCACCCTCACCTCTCCTGCCCAGGTCTCCTCTCTACCTCACTGCTAAAACAAAACACAGCACATGAAACAGGAATTCCTTGCTGTTGTTTTTTTTTTTAAGAGATTTCAAAAAAATCTCTTGTACACTCAAATAGCAAATACATATCAGGTTGTCTTTGATTAAAAAAAAAAAAGGAAAGAAAAAAAGGAGAAAGTAATCTTGTGACTCTCTTGCTCTTTAAAAATATCCCTGTCTCCTTTTCAGGATGAAGCCCCACTGGACATTACAAATAACTGCAACAAATGAGTCTGGCAGCATACATAATGTCTAGTATTCGAATCTTCATAGTGAGACTCATGTAGCTTGTACAATCTGTTGAATGTTTTTTGCAGCAGGTGAACCAAACCCAAAGATGCTGGACATTCTGTGAAAGGGAGTAAGAATTGCAGTTCTGAAGGCCCCTGACTTTGGTTGTTTACAAAGTTCAATCCTGTTTATTGTGATCCTTGGTATCTTCTTCATCTGTATATTCTGATGGTTCTTCCCCTGGTTTTAGGAGTCTGCCTACATAATCATATTTTTCTGAAAGATACATCAAAAGAAAATCAGTAGCAATCAAATTTATTTCACGATTCCATTATACAGCAGGGAAGGTGTATGCTTCTTTTAGTCAGAGAATAAGGTAAGTTTTCCCTATCGTTTACCTTGTCCAGTCTTTTTATACTCATGTAAGGCTTGAACAAAAGAAAACAGGATCAGGGAACTTATAAAGCTTCGGACTTGTGCTTTGGAAGAGAGTATTCCATACAACCAGATCTTAATCAAGGACACTGCCTCAGAATCACTTGGAGATATTTTAAAAATATATGTGAGTCCAGGACCCATGCCAGGCTCTTGGAATAGGTCTGATGATATGTACTTTGAAACTGGTTTACTTCTAATGTGCACTGAGTCTCAGAGCAGATCTTTAAATTTAATAACCCAAAGTAATTTTAATTAAATAAATAAGGTGGCAACACAGGGCATTTCAAACAGTGAGAAGATCTTAAAAAAGTTAATGGTGACTTTCCTGGGGTTGAAGAAGTAGGGAGAAAAATATGAGGTGGAAAATCACATGGAAAGTAAATCCAACCAGGAAATATTATTGGGGAGAAAATGTAACACATGTAGTCCCTAAGAAAACAAACCAAATGAACAGAGGAAAAGTCACTTGTTACTTGCTATCTTGTGTTCTCTGAGGTCCTGATACGTGACTCTCAGTACATTATTTTTCTTTCTCCTATTAAACTCTCCTTAGATGTGACATCACTTGTTTTCATGTTACCATGTGTTTAATTTAGAACACTGTTATGTCCACTGTTATGTTCATGGTAATATGTAGTCATTTCTTGGTCAGGATTCTGAACTGAGTTTAAGTGAATTAACTGACAAATCAAGAGGATGAAATAGGAGGACTGCTTGGTCCAGGAGAACCAGTACAAGTGCCAAGAAGCCAGAAGAGATATTTCAAGGGATCCATAAGTCACATAGTAGCAGCCCAGAGTGTTCACTGAGGCAGTAAAAACTGATGTCACAAGCATATAATGAAGGAGAATGACATTATTACTTTATGGTTTGAAGGTAAGATCAATTAAATCATTTAAAAATAAACTAAAATTACAGTATCAGTAATCAATTCAGTTTTAAATATAAGCCTATGTTTAAAAAACTATCTTAATGAACGAGACTTATAAGACTAAAGGTGTCACAAGTTTTGTAAATTTTACAGTTTGTAACAAGTGAATTTTTAAATATGGATTTTATTAACAATAAGCACATGTAACAATCATTTTGACAGTTAGCTATGCTTATCATCAAATAATGATGGCAATGAAAACAGACAACATCCTTAGGCTCTTAAAGAGTAATAAAATGGCATGTACTTTCTTTGGCCATAATTTAGTATTTTTAAAGAACCCAATAAAATGAAGGTACCTTTAAACTGCATTTCCCATTCTCGAACACTCTCCATTTGTACAGCATTCAAATCTGAGAGATCATCATATTCATCTTTAAGTGCATCTTTATCTAGGCAAAATGTTGCCAGTCCTCTGGAGGCATCCCTACCAGCAAATATTCCATATGGACCCGCTGGGGAAAAAAAGAAATTATTTAGATTATCTAAAAATATTTTAGAATGTCTCAAAGGAAAATGTCAAATAAAAGAAACCTCATGACTGTTATCTGGTACTCAGTCTTAAATTTCAAAACATGCACAGACACTAAACAGGATAATAATAAGAAATTTCTTAGAAATCCACCTTTTGACCAAAGTAAAGTTTTTCACTGAAAACTTAGATTTCAATTACTTTAGATACTAAAAAAAACTTAATTTAAAGATGAAGACTGCGATTAAAGATTAGAAAGAAGAGGATACTTAGAAGAGTTAGGTTTGGAAGCCAGTTTTCTTTTTCTTGAAATGATGGAAGTATGGTTTAAGTGACATAAAGCATTTCTTTTGGGAAATGTTATGAGGTAAACATTACAACACAATTCCTGCTTCCAAAAAAAGCAAAAGGCTACATAACTGTACACTGAGGAATAGGTGTCTTATTTTCCTTTGAATTTCAGGTTTTACTTTTTTTTTTTTTTAATTATTTTTTTTTATTAGTTGGAGGCTAATTACTTCACAATATTGTAGTGGTTTTTGTCATACATTGACATGAATCAGCCATGGATATACATGTGTTCCCCATCCTGATCCCCCCTCCCACCTCCCTCTCCACTTGATCCCTCTGGGTCTTCCCAGTGGCACCAGGCCTGAGCACTTGTCTCATGCATCCAACCTGGGCTGGTGATCTGTTTCACCTAGATAATATACATGTTTCGATGCTGTTCTCTTGAAACATTCCACCCTCGCCTTCTCCCACAGAGTCCAAAAGTCTGTCCTATACATCTGTGTCTCTTTTTCTGTTTTGCATATAGGGTTATCGTTACCATCTTTCTAAATTCCATATATATGTGTTAGTATACTGTAATAGCCAGTTTTCTTGAGGGGAAATGATGCCTTATTGATTATTGTTAATTAGTTGTGGCATCTAAAAATAATCAACAGAACATTGGCTGAATATATATATGGCTATAAGGACACAAAATAATTAGTGTATAGAATCAAGAACCACCTTGTCTAGGGAGGAATGGCTACCAGAAGCAAGTCATTCCCAAAGTGTGTCCTTGAGAGCAGCAACTCTCCTGCACATCTCTGGATCTTCAATGCTTACCACAGTGCCTGACATAAAGTAGGAACAAATAAACACATACTAACAGACAAAAATCCAAACCGCGGAATTTTCTATATCAAGAATTTGCTTACATAAATTATAGTACATTACTTTAATCAAACAGTACAAAGCTATCAAAAAGAATGAGGTAACTCTGTATGTACAGATGCACAAAGAAGTCCATGATATAGTAACTGAAAAAAGCAATTAGATTACACAGTATGATTCATTTAGTTGTTTTTATTTTTTACTCTTTTTTGGCTGCACTGTATGGCATGTGGGAACTTAAGTTCCTGGACCAGAGATCCAACCCATGCCCCCTGCAGCATAGTCTTAACCACTGGGCCATCACAGAAGCCCATAGTATGACCTCCTTTGAACTAAAAAAGGATATACATATATGCACATTTAACCCGTATTTATATATGCATGGAAAAAGCACCAGGAAGAATACAAACCAAGTACTTAACAGTAGCAATGTTTCTGGGGAATGGAGAGGAAGGGGAATGGAGAGGAAAGTTTTACTTCATTTAATTGGTTAAGCCTGCCTACTTTATTTATATTTGGCCATGCCACACGGCTTGTGGGATTTTAGGTTCCCTGAACAGGGATTGAACCTGGGCCCTCAGCAGTTAAGAGTCCTAGCCACTGGACTGCCAGAGGATTCCCAAGTCTGGCTATTTAAAAAACAATTTTTATAATATAAATCTTTTAATTTTATAATATAAATCTCTTAAGAGTTTTTTTCTTCATCTTAGTTTGTAGAACAGACCATGTAAATTTTCCTGTTTAAAACATTTTAAGAACTATGCGCTAATAAATAAGATTTACAAAATACATGATTTTATATATAAAAATTTCTTTCCTGAGTCTGAAAAGTTATCAATACATGACAAAAGAAATCTAGAGAAAACAGTTTAAAAATCAAATTTGCTGGCTTAACTGTTATGAGCCAGCAACTATTATGAGTGGGCAGTGAAAAAGCTTACTGTCCATTTAACAGAGTAAAGTATTTCCTAATGAGAAGTACACAGTACAAAGAAAGGAAATTCCCTGATTTTTAAGTGAGTAAAATAATGATTATAGCCATATTCATATTTTAAAGCATTTAGGAAATTGAAGGTTATGTGTCAGAAAAGCATCTATACCTTTAAGAAGAAAATTCAAAAATTTCTAAACATTTATGAACCTTAGTTTGAACTACAGTAAGCACTGCACCATAAAGCTCACTGGGTTACTTAGGAAAACTAATGAGTTTTAGAAATGAGTTAGGAAAATTCATTCTCTAAAAGTTTATTGCATGGAACAAAAAAAGAGCCTTAGCAATAAATTTAAGGACCATTATTAGGCAATAATATATTAACACAAAAATAAAGGTAATACTTCCAGTACTTTTTTATTCTGCTTTCCCATTCTTAAGTACTTTCCACACTGCTCCTTAATACTAGGTGACTATCACAACTATTTCTAAATTTGTCTTCTATAGAAGAAAATGGGACACTACTTACAGCTGGTCAATATTTGTAACTTGAAAACATTGCCCATCATCTAAACTGACATTCAAACGGTATTTATTTAAATGTTTAAGATAAAGAAATTTAGTACTAGTTACAGTAAATAGTAGTAAATTTCAACTTACAAAGTAAAATCTGAAGTTCTTTAATTGGAGTTAATTGTTTTGGAGAAACATTAACTTTTTTCTTTTTTAAAATTTATAGTTAACTTACAATGCTGTGTTAGTTTCAAGTGTACAGCAAAGTAATTCTAAAAAACGGTGGTTTTTAAAAAGTGTATGTGTTTTACACTCGTTTCTCCCGCCCCGTGCGCCGCTCCGATCCTTGTTCTCCTGCTCTCTATACCCTGCTGCGCTTAGTCGCTCAGCCTGCCCGACTCTCTGAGACCTCAAGGACTGTAGCTCGCCAGGCTCCTCTGTCCATGGGGTTCTCCAAGCAAGGATACTGGAGTGGGTTGCCATTTCCCTCTCCAGGGGATCTTCAGGACCCAGGGATTGAACCCAGGTCTCCCGTATTGCAGGCAGTGAGCTACCAGGGAAACTTTTATACAATAGTGTATATACATTAAGCCCAAACTCCTAGTTTATTCTCCCCTCATCCCCTTGGGTAATCATAAATTTGTTTTCTATGTCTGTATTTGTTTCATAAGTAAGTCATTTGTATCATTTTTAAAGATTTCACACATAAGTGATATCATATGATATTTGTCTGACTTACTTCATTTATGATAATCCCCAGGCCCAATCATGTTGCTGCAAATGACATTATTTCTTCTTCTTCTTCTTTTTTAAAATGAGAAACATTAACATTTGCTTTTTTTGACCAAGCCATGTGGCTTGCAAGACCCCAACCAGGGACTGAACCCCAGCGCCAGCAGTGAGAGCACTGAGTCCTAACCACTGGACTGCCAGGGAATTCCCAACATTAACTTTTAAAACTAAGCAAGTTAAAAAAACCCAAAAAACCCAACACTAAAATTAAGCAAGAACAGTCCTGAGGGAAAGAAAAGTGGTCCACCTTAAAGCAGTTTAGTTTTTCTGTGGTATAACTCCACGTGGCAATGGCTGTTTTCAAGAGATGGAAAATATATATATACATATAAAACACTAATATTTTCTTAATAAACAATAATGACCAAAAAAAATCTTAATGCTGACTGGACCAATGCTTACAAACTTAAAACAGTGATGAGTCAAACACAAAAGAAAAAACAAAACTGATTAAGGCTATAAAAACTACAAATAGAAAATGAGAATTTCAACTTTTTGAAGAACTTCCTAGGAATCTCACTTCCTTCTCATAGTATCACAAAGTAGAAGGGATAGTTTTGCCCTCCCTTCTTGGCAGATGAAAAGATGCAGAGGTACTCAATGACTTGCCTAAAATTACTAACAGAACCAACCACTTTTCTAACTACACCAAACACAGTACATCTTGAGAAAACACAGAGGACCCACAAACCCAAAGATGAAATGACAACCCTGAAAACTGGAGCATTTCACTCATCACAAAATTTCAGGGGAATGGCTATTTTAAAATACCTCTTAAAATGGAAGAATAGTAACCAAAAAAAGCTGTAGAAATCAAAAGCTTTTCTTAGCATTATGTTATATAATATTTACCTTCCTGGTCTACAAAATTCAATCTACTTGAGGATACTTCACCAACCTTAAAAACATCCAAATGGTAAAAAGGAGATGAAAAGATGATCACTATAAAAACAGAAGTCATAAGAACCTCCATCTTTAAGTATATGGATAAAATACCAGTGTATTCTTTAGTAAAATTTCCTGCCAACTTCCCTAAGAGGGAATGCTGTTTTTTGTTTTGGATAACTTAAGAGTGAACTAGAGGCAACAGTTAATAATGCAAGCCTAATCCTAGACAAAATGATGTTCTGTTAACTATTGAAAAGAATGACCTCTCCACATATTTCAAATTTCCCACATGAGGCATTTAACTTCTGAAAAGGTCTTTTTGAAAATAGTTTTCTTTTTCCTGTAATAGCATAAAGAATGTAATATTAAGACTAAGAACTAGAGTTGGAAAAGGATGACCTGCTGAGAAAGGAGGATTTGAGGTCCAGTTAAAGTATATTCCTCTGCATCCCTAACACAATCAGAATCATATCTGAGAGTTCAGTAATACCTCCCCTTTCCGCTACCCCCTTATATAACTGACATATATGTTATGACTTTAATATTTTGGTGACTACTCTTGGCTATCCATAATACTATAACAACAGAGAACTACCCAAGGAAAGCACATTTTAAAAGCTCTTAGGTCTTTTGGTATGGTATAATCTATAAAAAAAATTAAAAGGCTAGCTCATATAAACTAATCATATTGTTTTAAC